GCCCGCGGGGGCGCCCCCTGGCGGACGCGCGGAGGCCGGGGCGGCGGGGCCGGGAACGGGTCCGGGGGACACCGGGACAGCGCGGGGACAGCGCGGGCTGTCCGCACCGCATGGGCACGCGGGGTCTGCGGACATCGCCACACGCCAGCCCCAAACCACTAGGACAGCCCGAGGAGGGCAGGCAGGCCGCGAGTCCCCAGCAGGACGCTCGGTGTGTGTGTCCCTGCAGCACGGCCATGGGCTCTCCCACAGCCAGCCCGCAGCTGCTGTACCGCAGCACCCGCCTGCTGCGCACGGCCTTCCAGCACCTCCACCAGCAGCAGCAGCGAGCCGACGTCTTCTGCGATGTGGTCCTGTGGGCTGAAGGTGAGCGGGCAGCATCGCCGAGGCAGAACCGGCGCGCCTGGGCAGCTGCAGCAGGGTCTCTGCACCCCCCTAGGAAAGAGTGTCGTGAGCAGGAGGGGCTGCAGGGCAGTAACAGCCACCGTTGCTTTGCAGGCGAGTCAGTGGTGGCCCACTGCAGTGTTCTCTCCGTCTGCAGCCCCTTCTTCATGGAGCAGCTGGGCCGGGAGCTGCCCCCCCAGGGTCGCAGGGTGGTGCTGGAGCTGGCGGGGCTGAAGATCGGGGTGCTGCGCAAGCTGGTGCGCTTCTTCTACACTGCCGAGCTGGAGGTCACGCAGGAGGAGGTGCACGAGGTGCTGGCAGCCGCCCGCCGCCTCCGTGTCACCGAGCTCGAGTCACTGCAGCTCTGGGGAGGACGCCTGGTGAGACTGGGACCCCAGCGGCAGCTCGACCGCTCCTGCCTGCATTCCGCTCAGGAAGCCTCCCCCGTGGTGGCAGCTGACACGGCTGAGCCTAGCAGTGCCAGCTCCGGGGTGTCCCCGCAGAGGCAGGCACGCTCTCCGGGGCACACACACCCCAGCCCCATCGGGCGGATGAGGCTGCGGAAGGTGGAGCGCTGGGGGTGCTGGGAGGTGGTGCGGGACGTGCAGCCCCCCCCTGTCCCTCCACCGGTACCGGTGGGGGATGTGGGGGTGACACAAGCACAGCCCCCCCAGGATGAGGATGCACGGGAGCAGGTGGGCAAGTGCTCCCCAGCCCAGCAGCCCCCCGGTGCAAACGGGATGCAGCAGCAGGGGGACTCCCCTGTGTCCCCGCAGGGCTGCCAGCAGGCAGCACCCCCAGGGACCCCGGGAAGTGACACCAAGGAAGAGGAGGTGGATGTGGGGACTGGGGAGCTGTTCCTGCCCCCTGGCACAGTCTGCCTCTGGCCCAGCCCTTCATCTGAGTCAGAAGAGGAGGTGGATGTCCTGACCTAGGGGGGGCTGGCTCTGCCTCTCCCCCCACCAGTGCCTGCACCCCTTGGGCTGCGTGTCCTTGGAATAAAGGGCTGGAGCTGTGCTGTGGAGTACTGAACTTTATTGGAGATTGGGGGGACAACGGGGTGTGCAGGGAGCCAGGGGTCTGGCAGTGGCAGAGCTGCAGCATCGGGGACGGGACTGGGGCTGGCAGGTGCCCCCCACTTGGTCTCGCCTCTTCATGGATGCTCATGCCACCTGCACTGGTCCTGGCTCGGCTGTGGAGAGAGGGAAGTCAGTTCCTGCTGGTCCCATCCCATCCCATCCCATCCCGGTCCCATCCCCGCTCACCTGGCCAACGCCTCTATGCCAAGCTGCTCTTCAGGGCTTCCACCACGGTCTCCGGCTGGGGAAACTTCAGCTTGCGGGGGGGCCCCTTCCCGATACCGCTCCACAGCTCCACGGCTGCAGAGATGAGGGCGATTATGGGATCGGGCTGCCGGGGAGCCCCCGCCGCCCCCAGCCCAGCACTTACTGCTGCCGTCCTCCTTCACCAGGGACACCTCGAAGCTGTTCCTGCGCGGTGGCCGCGGGTTGATGTCCACGGGGAGGTGCGCCATGGCCCCGCGCAGGGCCGCGCTCACCGCCGCCGCGTTGCGCCCGAACACGCGTCAGCTCTTGCTGCGGGGACACGGCGGTCAGCGAGCCGGGGGCACCCGGGGGGCTCGCACCACCCTCCGCTGCTCACCAGTGCTCGATGACCACGCGGGGGCCCGTGTCCCCGGGGCCGCCCTCGTCTTCGGCCTGGGCCCGCGCCCGCTTCTGCGGGGCTCCCGCTGTCTCCGGTGCCTCGGCCGCCGCCGGCTGCCGGGCCCCGCGCTTCCTCCCGCGGGGAGCCATCCTGGGAGAGCCGAGGCGGTGGAGCCTACGCCGGAGCAGGAACGGGGCTCCGGGAATGCCGCTCTGGGGTGAGAAGGGGTCTCAGGTACCCTGCTGTGAAAGGTGGGTCCATGCGGGGACACTGCTGTGGGAGAGGGCCAGGAAGGGCCAGTCCCCGGCGATGCGCCGTGGGGGGAAGCGAGGGGCCCGCGGGGACCCTGCAGCGGAGGGCGGGAAGCGGCTCCGCGGGGACCCTGCAGCGGAGGGCGGGAAGCGGCTCCGCGGGGATCCCTCAGCGGTGTGCGGCTGGGGAGGGTAGGGGAGCGGGGCCCTGGGCAAGGGAGGGGACAGAGCGGGCTCTGCCGCGGCCGCGCCGCCTCCTACCTGCCGCTGGCCGCGTGCCGGGAGCGCGCGCCGCCGGGGCAGCGGGGCCGGAAGGGGCGGCGCCGGGAAGGGCCCCGGAGCCCCCCGGTGGGCTCCGGTTCCGCCCGCGCCGCCCCAGCCAATCAGAGCGCGCGCTGCGCAGGAGCCCCGCCCCCGTGCGCGGCGCGGGACCGGGGACACGGACACGGACACGGACACGGGACACAGGCACGGCACGGCACGGACCGTTTATTGTCAGCGATGGATGAGAGCGAGCGTTAACCGAGGCGGGGCCCCCCCTGCCGCCCTGCCCGCACGGGGCCGGGGGGCACCGCTGCTTTCCCGGGGCTCAGCCGGGACAAGTCCCCACGGAGGGCGGCTCCGGGCGGGGCTGGGCAGGCCCGCGGGGCCGCTGCCACCAGGCGGATGGTGACATAGTGATGGGCGACGGGACAGGGCAGCTTCTACTTGTCCTTCTTGGTCTCCTGAGGCGCAGCCGCCGGCACGGCTGGGGGCTCCTCAGGCCCCTCCTCCCGCGGCTTGGACTGCTTCTTGGCCTTCTGGTAGAGCTCGTTGAGGTTGAACTCCCGGATCACGTTCTCCTGTGGCCAAGAGGTAGCATCAACCCCTCCTGCTCCCCCCTTGCTCCCAGGCACAGGCTGGGCAGGGAACAGAGGGCTGGAGTGTCCCACGCACCTCAGAGAAGGTCCAGGACACAGCCCGGCCCTTCTTGTCGATCTGCGGTCGCCGCATGATCTCTGTCCCACCCTGGAAGAGGATGAGGGTGGGCAGCTGCTTGGTGAGAGGCGAGGTGCTGACCTTGTACCTGTGTGAGGACGAGCCAGCAGTGACCCTCGGGCGGCCTGAGGGTCACAGGGACCACCCCAGAGTGAGCCCTGCTTGCCCAGGCTGCCTTCCCCACACCTGGTGCTGACGTCCGTGTAGCGGCCAACATCCACCTTCCCAAACTGGAGTCCTGAGCAGTTGTACCTGGGCAGGATGGGGACACGAGGCTGTGGGGGACGCGGGGGACCACAGGCCCCACTACCCACCAAGATTCCAGTGGGTGCCACTCACTTGAGAGAGAGGTCGGCGAAGATGGGGGCAAAGGACTGGCACTCACTGGACCAGTTGGCAAAGAACTCCACAATCCACGTCACCCTCTTGTCCCTCTCCAGCTCCTCCTGCCACAGGGCATGGGCTTAGAGGGGGGTGGGCAGAGCCCCCCAAAAGCCCCGGGGCTGGGGAGGTACTCACATCGATGGTCTTGTCACTGAAGTACTTGATGTACTCAGGGCCCATGTAAAGGGGCGGCTTGCAGGTCATCAGGAACACTGGAATGACAGCACCCTGAGCCCCCAGGAGGGCCGGGCCGGGCCTGGGACAGAGCCCCTCCAGCCCAGAGCAGCCAGGGGGAGCCAGGACAAGGCGGATCTGGGGCAGGGGGACGTGCAGGCTCACCTATGCAGAGCGTGAGGTAGAGCAGCCCCATGCGGATGTCGAGGCGGAAGAACAGGATGGCGTTGGCCACTTTGCTGAACATGAAGATATTCCCGATGTGCTGCTCCACGGTGACTGCGGTGTGGAGACAGGAGTAAGGGACGGGGCCGGATGCCCCCAGAAGGCTGGGGGTAACTTCAGGGAGGACTGGATCTGGTCCTAAAGACACCACCCCATAAAGCAGCCCCAGCCCCCCAGGTGCCCCTGACTCACTGGAGCGCCGGTTCTTCATCATGACAATGGCGCTGAGGAACATGAGGATCTCCACCTCCCTCTGGCACAGAGAAGGGACAGCATGAGCTGGAAGTGCCCAGGACACCTTGGAGCCATGCCTGGCCTGGCACAGGGACCTGTGGCCATGCCAGGCCCTACTGGCCCCAAGGCACTGCCAGAGCCCAGAGCCGCCATCCCTCCCCGGGGAGAGCAGCGAGCACAGGGGCTGCCGGGCACCTCCTCCCTCAGCCGGGGGGGGCGCTGTGACAGCAGGAGGGGAGCCAAGCCAGGGCCGGGGGTGAGGGACAGGCCCGGGGACAGCCCAGGGATGCGGGGACAGTCGCGGGGACAGGCCGCACCGCCTCACCCAGTCAAAGTCACACGGGTTGCCATCCTCCCGCTGCGAGGGCAGCCCACGGCAGAGCGGCGGGACCTTGCGCACGAGCAGGAAGGCGGCGGCCAGCAGCGCGGAGAGCGGGTAGTAGGGCTGGGCGAGCCATCGGCAGAGCCCGGGCAGCCCCCAGAGCAGCGCCAGCAGCGGCGCCACCACCGCCATCTTCCCTCCGCCCCGCTCACTGCCGGGGGCGGGGCCAACCCGCGCCGACCAATGGCGAGCCGCGAGGCGGCCGCTCCCTGCCCGCGCGGGCCAATGAGAGGAGAGAGAGAAGCGGCCAATCAGAAGGCTGGGACGAGTCTCCCATAGCAACGGGAGGCAGGACGGTGCAGGGGCGGCGCTCGGCCAATGGCGGGGCGGGGCGGCCCCGCGCGGGGCACGCCGGGAATATGGAGAACTTCTCGGCGCTGTTCGGCGCGGCGGAGCCGCCGCCCGCCGCCGCCGCCGCGCTCGGATCCGCTGCCTCGGCCGCCGCGCCGCCACCGGGAGAGGACGCGGCCCGCAAGGCCGCCGCCGGCCCCTTTTACCTGCTGCGGGAGCTGCCAGGTACGGGCGGGCCGCGGGGCGGGGCGGGTGCGGCGCTCAGCCAATCAGCGCGGCGGAACGCGGTCGAGAGGGGAACTGACGGCGGCAGGAGCCAATGAGGCTGTGGGGGCGGGGTCTCGGAACGCGCGGTCCGGTGGGAAGCGGGCGGCGGGGGGGTCCCCGGGGCCGGGATCCCGGTGCTCGGGGGCTGCACGGCGTCCCGGAGCCTCGGCTCGGCCGGGGAGAGGGGCATGGCGCGTCCTGGGGGCGTTCCCCCCTGCCCAACTCCTCCCGCGGCCGCACAGGCACTACGGAGCTGACGGGCAGCACCAACCTGATCACACACTATAACCTGGAGCACGCCTACAACAAGTTCTGCGGGAAGAAGGTGAAGGAGAAGCTCAGCAACTTCCTCCCCGACCTGCCCGGCATGATCGACCTGCCCGGCTCCCACGACAGCAGCAGCCTGCGCTCGCTCATCGAGAAGCCGCCCATCTGCGGCAGCTCCTTCACCCCGCTCACGGGGGCCATGCTGACCGGCTTCCGCCTGCACGCCGGCCCGGTGAGCCCCGGGGCCCGCAGCCGGGGGGGTGGGAGGAGCCCGGCGTGGCCTGACCAGCCCCTTTTGTCCACAGCTGCCCGAGCAGTGCCGGCTGATGCACATCCAGCCGCCTAAGAAGAAGAACAAGCACAAGCACAAGCAGAGCCGCACGCAGGACCCCGTCCCCCCAGGTAAGGGTGCCACAGCCGCCCCCCTGCTCCCCTTCAGCACCGGCAGAGCATCGGCTCAGCCGGCCCTTCTGCTCCTCCAGAAACCCCCTCGGACTCCGACCACAAGAAGAAAAAGAAGAAAAAAGAGGAGGATCCAGAGCGGAAGAGGAAGAAGAAAGAGAAGAAGAAAAAGAAGGTGAGTGGCAAGGCGGGGGTCCTGTGCCAGCCCCTCCAAGGGGCTCTGTGAGTGGCCATCCCTAAGGGACTGCTGCCCAGCAGCTCTCACAGTCTGTCCTTCCTCCACAGAACCGGCACAGCCCGGAGCACCCGGGGGTGGGCAGCTCCCAGGCCAGCAGCAGCTTACGGTGAGGCCATGCCGGTGACGCCCTGGGGAGCCCCGGCCCATGGGAACAGCCCCGGCTCACCCCAGGGACACTGGGGCTGGCCTGACCCCCTGGCTAAGAGGACACCCCTGCAGCCCCCCAGGAGCAGGGGCACGGACTCCGTGGGTGCTGACCTCGGGCTTTTGTACCTGAAGAACCTGGAGCATCAAAGCCTCTTTTTTAGTCACCTTTTAAAGTCTGCTCTGAGGAGGGGCTGGTGGCCGTGGCTGCTGTGACCCTCAGCTGCCAACCAGGGTGTCCCTGGAGCGTGCAGGGTGCCCTCCTTTGGATCCCAAACCTCACCAGCACCCACAACACCTTCCCTGGAGCCTCTTTTCCCATGCCTGGAAAATCCTTACCTTCCGTGGGAGCAGAGTTTGCCTCACGTTGGAGCCTCCCCAAAAGTGGGCCAGGCTCAGCTCTTACCAGACTCCCTTCTCTCTCTCCCTCGGGATGGGGGGGAAGGCTGAGACCCTGAGGATCAGGAGCCCTGGAGGGGCTGCTCCTTCCCTGGACACCAAACAAAGCACACGCACGGCCCCGGGGTGGCTCATTAAATATCCTTTTATTCCTTGTTTTTAAAATGGCTGATAATAATAAAAAACCCTGGCGTGGCTGTGCGGGGCCACGGGAGCTATTGCCGTAGAGAAAGAGTCCGGTAGTGCCGGCAGGGCTTTGGGGACAGGGAGCACGGGGCTCCTTGGCTGCGGGTTTTTTTTGGCATGTGATGAGAAAATATTGCTTTCCGGGGATGCACCTGCCTCTCCCCCGAGCGAGCGGAAATAAAAACACCCCTGCGACAGCGAGAAACCTCCTCGGAATCATTAACAGAAATAAAAAAAGGCAACGAAACCAACAACCCCCCGACCACAGCCCCCGGGGAAAGGGAACAAAGAGCAAAAACTGCGCGGGGGGGACGCTGGGGCCTTTGTGCCAGCTCGGGCTGGGGGTCTAGGGGTGCTGCCCCCACCCCGGGCCCCCCAAGGGGGCTGGAGGCTGCGGACACCACGGATCAGGGAGGGGAGTGTCCGAGGATGGGTGCCTGGCACCCCGTGGCTCCCTTCAGGGAGGGAACAGTGGCACTCTGCACCTACCACAACTCCTTCCATGGGTGCAGGAGGCAGCCCCACGTCCCTCCTTTGGGGACAGGGACAAGGTGGGGGGGCCCAGGCCCTGAGCAGGGTAGTTTCTTCCTCTCTCTGGGTAAGATATATAATTTCTGCTTCTTTTTTTTTTTAATATTTATATTTATATATATAGATATTTATATATACACACACCTGGTAACTCGGAAAGAGAAAAAAAATAGAATCCGTAACAATAATAATAAAAAAAAGTATTCTGGTTTAAAAACAATCCGTTCCTACCACGCCAGGCGAGCGGGTGATTGCACAAGGCCCACAAGTGGCTGGCGCAGCCGAGGCGGTGCCGGGGCTGCGGCCCCCCCTCCCCGAGCCCTCCCCGAGCCCCCCGCGGGTGTGTGCAGCCCCCGTGGCCCGGGGGGCAGAGGGAGGAGCAGGGGGGACCCGCCCGGCTCTCCCGGGAGTCCACAAGTGTCTGGGCACGGCGGGTCCCTGGGGGCCGCCGGGGAGGAGGGGAGGGGGCGGCGGCTCTGCCCCTCATACCGAGATCTCGTAGGTGGTGCCCCCCACACCCGAGACCTTCTTGACGCCTCCGCGGGTGGGGCTGCTGAGGGGCACGGGCCCCGAGCCCGCTGGGGCCGAGCCCAGGCTCTTGGGCTGCCCGTTGGACTTGCTGTAGGCTGTTCTCATCTGCACCTCGTCCCTGCGGGAAGGAAGCACGGACATGGGGTCAGGAGGGGGAACAGGCTGCTGGCACCCAGCACTGCCACAGCCCTGCCCACCCCGGGGACCACCAGCACCCACTCCAGATTCAGAGGGGCCCGTGGGGTGACCGAGGATGTGAGGGGGGCACCAGCTCTGTTCTGGGAAGAGCACGAAGATTTCTCTTGCTCTTCCCAGCATCTCTCTCCAGGGAGGGGTGTTCTGCTGCCCCAGGGGCTTGCAGGGACTCTGGGCAAGGGTCCCCCCACAGGCCACAGACATCCCTGTGCCATCCCAGTACTCACTTTGGTGCCAGTAAGGGCTGCAAGGCCACCTCCTCGGTCTCGGTGCCGCCGGCCTGAGAGGCTGCTTTTTGGCTGCTGTAAGACACGGATTTGCCCAGGTGGGGGGCGGCGGGCTGGTCGGGGGAGCCCAGCGAGCGCACCCGCAGCGCCGGCGGGGGCTCGGGCTTGCCGAAGCGGGGCAGGGCCGGGCGGGTGAGCGGGTTCTTGCCCAGGGGCGAGCGCTTCGAATCGTCCGAGGAGGAGCTGGTGCGGGGGGCGTTGCTGGAGCCCGGCGTTGACTGGATGCCCGAATCCGCCAGCCCCGCGTCCTCCTCCCGGCCCGGGGCCGGCGGCTGCTGCAGCAGCTTCTCCCGCTCCTGGATGGAGGCCACGATGTGGCGGGAGAGATTGTCATAGCGCACGGGCGAGGGCTCGCGCGGCGCCGCGTGCTTGGGGGAGGCGGCGCTGGCGAAGCGGCCGTGCAGGTCGGTCTCTCGCTGCTGGGCGATGCGGGCCGACAGGAAGGGCGAGGTGTAGCCCACCGGCGGCTCGGGCTCCGGGCCCGCCTGCACCGACTCGAAGTCGGGGCTGTCGGAGGGCGTGAGCAGGCTGTCGTACGAGAGGCTGCCGTTGCGCGTCTGGTTCACCAGGCTCTTGTAGGAGGTGGAGGTGGTGCCCTCGGAGCGGATGGACTGCAGGTGGCCCGTCTCAAAGCCCGTGCCCTGGGCCGACTTGAGGCTGGAGGAGCGGGAGCCGCTGGAGAGAGGGTCAAAGTGGAAGCTCTTGCCGAAGGTGGGCGAGCGGAAGCTCTCGGGTTCCAGGCTCGGCTCCGAGCGGTAGCTGGGCTTGTGGCCGCTGTCACAGATGGAGTTGGGCTCCTTCAGGCTGTTCACTCGGCTCAGCTGAGGGGCAGAGGGGCAGCAGTTACCCACAGAATGACCATGGGGCCCCTGTGCAGCTCCCAATGCCCTAAACAGTTCCCACACCAGGAATGGGGTGACATCCCCTCGGGGATGGTCCCCTGCACTGGGCTGAGCCTTACCTTGGCGCTGGTGGAGTGGGGCAGGGCTGCCGAGCTGCTGCTGCTGCTGTAACCGGGCCGGTACTTGTACATGGTGGGAGTCGGGGGGCTGTCCTTGCCTAGCAGGCTGCTGTCTGCGCCGGGAGAGAGGAGCACGCTCAGGGCGGCTGCGGGCATGGAACGCGCCGAGCCCCGCCCTCCCTGCCTCAGAACCGACTCCGAGCCTGGCACAGACAGACCAGCGACAGGGACGGGCTGCAGGGGAGGTGCACCGGGGTGGGACAGACAGACCGGGAGGAAGGGTTGTGCCCACAGCCACGCGTGTGGGGCTGGCACTTCCGTGCCCCTGCGGCAGCCCCGGCTGGGTGACACCCCAGGGGTGCACGGCACGGGGGTGTCAGGGAGCTCAATGGGAAGCACACACACCACAGCCCTCAGCGGGCAGCAGGGCTGGGCAGCAGACCCCAGGCAGGGCCGGGAGAGCTGTGGGGTCTCCAGCTGCTGCAGAAAGCAGCTGCCACAGGCTCTGCCCATCACATCCCACCTCTGGCCAGGCCCACATGGAGCCGGCCACAGACGCTCTGTGCCGCTGAGCCAGGCCCGCCACCACTTCGCCTCCTCCGTCCTGGCAGTGTGGCAGCTGCAAGGCACAGCTCCTGGTGGCTCCAGACAGCGCCACGCTGGCTCGGCCTCCAGCAGGGCAGAGCTGACTGTGAGCATCCCCTGCAGGCTTCTCCAAGGGCAAGGGGCCACATACACCAGCCCAGGAATGCCGATGTGCTCCAGGTCTGCCCTACGGCCCTGGCTCCTGGCCTGCCTGGTGCAGCCCTGGGCTCCCCTCCCAGCGGCTGCCAGGGCCCTGGTGCCCTCCTTACCCTCAGTGGTGGCCAGGGTTAAGTGTGTCCTCAGGCCCGTGTAGCGGCTGAGGTCGGGCTTAGGTGGGGGTGGTGGCTCGGCGTCAGCAGACTGGCTCTCGGTCACCTCCAGGCTCCCTTTGGACTGCAGAGACAAAGCGCAGGCAGGGTCAGGAGGGGCCAAGGCCTCAGGCCCCTCGGGCTGGCAGGGCACAGACCGTGGCACTGGGGGCTCCCGCTGCCTCCCAGGCCATCCAAAAGAACAGGGGGCAGTGCGTGCCCCGCGTGGGTGCCGGAAGTGCCGAGGAGGGGGAACCTGCAGAGGGCGGGGAAGGATGGGAGCAGTAAGGGCAATGGAGGGGGCAAAGCCTCATGTGGTCACTGCCACATGGGAGGGGGACAGTTTCCATCCCACGGGGACATAGAACAAGACAACACGGATTGGGACAGGGAATGTGACCAGGCTCACTCGGTTCTCTACTCACGGATGCAGGCTTGCACCCCTGGGCTCCGTGGAGGGCCCCAGCGCAGGCAGCGCTGGTCCCCACCTTCCTCACCTTCGTCCTTTTCAGCTCTGTCTGGATACCATTGTCCATGATCTTGACAGTGATCTGACCGTCCGACACCTCGGGCCGCAGGAACGGGGGTCTCACCAGCACTGTCTGCTCGGCCTTCGGGCGCCCGAGGTACCTGGGGAAGGGCAGGGAGGAAGGTCATGGCCTGGAGCCCGGGATGGAGCAGTTTTTCCAGGGATGCAGAGGCCAGGCTCACCTGGGTGCCGGGGAGCTGCAGAGGACCCTGCTGACGTTCTTACAGCAACCGTTGGTGAAGGGGTTGACGCCCCCGCGGAACTTGCCCGTCACCTGTGGGACAAAGAAGTGTCACAGCCAGCCCCGCCAGCTCCCTCAGGACACCCCCTCAGCACCAGGACAGAGGTACTCCGAAATCCAGCTCTTTTTCCTAGTGCCTGTTTCAGTGCTCAGACACCCTTGAGGGGGTTGGGTCTCCTCAATTTCACCTCCTGTGCCCCAGAAGTGCCCACGTGGCTCCTGGCTCCATCTTCTCACTGCACCCCCATGGATGCAGCTGCCCCCTCAGTCACCCTGTGCTCTACCTCCCCAGCTCAGGGGCCTCCCCAGCTTTAATCCAGCCCATCCACACCCATCCTCTCCTGGGAAACCCCAGAATGTATCCATAGGTGGCCTGGCTAGGCTGGCAGTCCCCCCACAATCCCTCGGACGTACCTGTTCGTTGGTAGTGCGGCCCCTGGCCACGAGCACCACATGGAAGCCTGTCAGGCCAGCGACGGGAATGAAGAAGAGCCCAGCCACGCACATCACCACCATCCTGCCACAGGCAGCTAAGGAGCAGCCACAGCCCCGCTCGGCACCGCGCCGCCCCAGACCCCCCCACGCCCTGCCCACTCCCGGTGCCCAGGAGGATACGTGACGGCCATGCGGACACCGGAGAGCTCCTCCACCTGGTACAGGACGTAGAGCAGCCCGAAGCCGAAGACGCCCATGATGTGCGTGGTGAGCGACAGCAGGAAGAGGAAGAAGTAGCGGTAGTTGCGCCGCCCGATGCAGTTGTTGACCCAGGGGCAGTGGTGGTCGAACTCCTGCCGGGGATGGGGCTCGGTGAGGGGGTGCTCGGGGGGCTCCCTGCCCCGGGGGGGGCTGGAGGAGGCCCCGGCAGCTCCTCACCTCCACGCAGTTGTCGCAGACGCTGCAGTGGGAGCAGCGCGGCGGGCGGTAGAAGCGGCAGGTCGCGCACCACTTCATGCGCACCTGGATGCCCTTGATCTCCACCGTCTTGTACAGCGGGGCCCGGAAATCGTCCTCTTTGTCCTCGTCCTCCTCAGCTGATGGGGACACCCCGGCATGGCGTCAGGGCCCAGCTATGACGGGCTTCTGCCTGCCCGAGCTGAAGGCTCCCAGCATCACCTTCCTGTCACCTGGCACAGGGACAGCCAGGGACCCCCAAACACAGGCTGGGGGGCTCTCCCAGGCCCTGCTCCAGAATCCTGACACTGCCTGAGCCTCAGGGACCCAGCCTGGGATGCTGAACCCAGAGTTGCCATCCCTGTAGCGCCTGATCCCACTGGGCAGGTTGAGGAAGGCTCCTTGTCAGCCTTTTGGGACCCAGAAATCCCCTTTACCTCAAAGGAAGGATGCAAGGACGCAGCTCTTCCTGGCCAGAGTCAGACTCACCTCGTGGGAATATGCCTGGGTCCATGAAGGTGGCCATGCTGAAGTTGGCCAGCACGAAGAGGAAGACGACGGCATTGTAGGCGGGGATGATGGGGGACACGTAGAGACTGAGCCCCGGGCACCTGCGGGCACAGAAGCCGTGAGACCCTGGGACCCTCACTTGTGTCGCTCTCATCATCTCCCAGCAGCGCATCCCACACCCACACTGCAGCCACTTCTGCAGCACAGCCTGACCCCGGCCTGGGGAGCACCTGGGGACCACACTGGGATGTGCTCCAGGCATCCTTCAGGGAGCAAAATTCCCCTTTGGGATCCCACTGGAGGGTCTCACAGAGCTGTGGTGCTGGGAACAGGGAAAACCAGGCCAATGGCAGGGGGGGCACCCAGGGGACCTGCCAGAAAGCAGGATGTCATCCTCCCTGTGCCCCATCCAACTGCTCAGGGGCAGAGGGGACCCTGTGAGGGACATGAAACCAGCACCAGCTCCGGTGCCTCCAGAGCCACTCATGCTCCTCACATCCCAGGGACAGCTCCAGCAGGACATGGGGACCCCAGCCAGCACCCAGCTCCTCCAAAAAGGAGCGCAGTGAGGGAATCACCCTGCTCCCTCCTGCCCCAGCGGGCGGGCTCAGGAGAGCGGGCTTCCCCCTTGCAGGCGCCAGCGTAATTCCCTAATCTGCTTTGCTGCTGGGATTTAATCCCACAGATCTAGGGCAGCATCTGTCCCTCTCTTCCCCCCACTGGGCTAAGTGCCGATGGATTTAGGTGGCCAGGGCAGAGTGGGGCTGGGCGGGCAGGGTGACATATGGTGCCAGCGCCGTAATCCCCACAGGTTGGGGTGAAGGGGCAGGCGCTGGCCCCGTCCCCTCCTCCACCACCACCCACAGAGACAGGTCCCATCACCGGGCAAGGCAGCCCTGTCCTTGTCACAGCAGTTCCTAGAGCCATGCCAAAACTCCAGCTGGTGCGGGGCCCTGTCCCAGTTCAGGGCCCTGAGGAGGGCAGGGGGGCACCCCCGGGAGAGGAGCAGCAGCTGTGCCAGGGGGAACTGCCCCAGCAGGGCAGGAGAAGTGGGCACACCCTTCCAGCACACGCCTGGCAGCACACAGGGTGAGGCGGGCAGGGCGCTCCCAGCACCGGGCACCGCTCCGTGCCCCAGGGAGGGTGGGAATCATCAGTGGGACCTGCTCTCACAGGCCAAGGCTGAGGCTGTCCCCATTCCAGGCACAGGGATGAGAGAGCACGAGGGCAGACTTTTGGTTGCTGGTCATTCCTGGCAAGGAGGACAGCACGGCCAAGCCATCCAGCACACTCCTCTTCTTCTTCCTCCTCCTCCTCTCTGGCTCCCCCAGGCCCCACACACCACACCAAGCTTCTCCTGCAGACCACCTTCCCCAAAGCCTCCTCCCTCTCGTTCCTGAAGATCTGCCCTGCTGGGCACCCTGGGCGCTGCCTCCCTGCTCCATATCAGGCCAGCATCTCCCGGGATGGCATCTCCCGGGATGGCATCTTGGCATCTCCTGGCCCAGCCCCCGAGCTCTGCCCCGGGTTGGGGAGCGGCTCCTCCAGCGGCACCACCGGCCATGCCGGCCCTGCCGCCTCTGCTGGAAGCCAGCCAGGGGATTCTCTGCAGCTGGGACGGGCTGGAGAGGAGGAGTCCTCTCCAATCTGTGCCCCAAAACCCTTGGAGATCAGTAATGCAGGCACAGGACCTACATGACAGTGCCAGGCCACAACCCGAGCAAGGGACAAATCACGGAGTCATGGAATCACAGAGTTGTTCAGGTTGGAAAAAACCTCCAAAATCACCATTAAAACTGCTTCCCCAGCACTGTCAGGGCCACCACTGAATCATGTCCCCAAGTGCCACAGCCACATGGTTTTTGGTGACTCCATCACTGCCCTGGGCTGAACAACCCTTTCCATGAGGAAATTTTCCCTAACATCCAAACGAAACCTCTCCTGGCACCACCTGAGGCCGCTTCCCCTTGTCCCATCACTTGTTCCTTGGAAGAAGAGCCCAACCTCACCTGGCCACACCCTCCTCTCAGGGGGTTGTAGAGAGTGAGGACACAGGAGAACCAAGGACCCCATGTCCCTGAGCTGAACTCCTACTCCACCTGAGAGAAGCCTCCTGGCTCTGCTCTCTGCTGGACAGAGGGCCAGGGGGCTCCGAGGAGCCCTCAAAGCAGGAAACGCCCTTCCAGAAACCCTTGGAAGGAGCTCCTCTTTCCAGGAAGGGAAATCCCAGCCCAAACCTTTGCTTGAAAGAGATGGAGGGGAGCCAGGAAGACCCATGCCCGGGCAGTCATCCCACACAGGGAGCAGCCAACAGCGCGGCTGAGCCAAGCACAGGGCCTGGATCCTGAGACAGAGCCCAGGGAGGCAGGGAAGGATCCAGCTGTCTTGGAAAGCTCTGGGACACACAGAGAGGGAACGACCAGGGGAAAGGAACATCTCTGTGCTGTCCCAGCAGCCAGCCCTTCCTGGAGGGACACACAGCTCCCGGGGCAGGACAGTGCCCAGCACCCAGGTCCCTGGGCTCAGACACACTGACAAGACCCCCTGGGTGGGATTCATGGGCCAGGATAAGCACAATACCCTCCCTAGGGAACACCAGGACCTGCTGCCTTCCTGGCCCCCTCACACGCAGGGACCCTGTGCCATGGGAATCCCCACAGTGCCAGGCCACCCGGTGGCACCATGCTGGTGACCCCAAAACCAGGGAGTCACCTCCTGGGACCATCCCCACCCGCTGGAGGGATCAGCGTCCTCTGCAGGGAGCAAAGGTGCTGCCCATCCCTGAGGGAACCTCCTTATCAGGAGAGTGATGTGTTCCTGCCTTTTGCTCTCCTGAACAGAGAGTGTGGGGCTGCAGGCCCTGCCTCGAGCCCAGGGCACACAGGGCAGGAGCAGCAGGAGCAGGGAGGCTCCTCAGCACCACCAGCCACGCAGGTCCCGCAGCACCCGTCGGGTTTCCCCTCAGGATCGGGATGCAACACGCTCATGGCCAGAGGAGCTGCTGGGACTTGTCCCTGGCAGCACATGAGAGGACCTGGGGAACCTGGGGCACCATGAGTCACAGCGGGATGAGACGGGCTTTTTGCTACCAGTCACGCCCGGAGAGGCCTGTCCCTCCCTGCTGGCGTCCCTTCCCCAGCCCCTCAGCCCCTGCAGTCCCTCAGGCACAGCCTCCCTGCCTGCTCCCCGGGCTCTGACCCCGGGCTCTCCAAAGGCCTGGCCACAAACACAATCCCTGCTCACCCTCACACAAGTTTGGATCTGATTGGGAGCGGGCATGACACTGTGTCCCAGTGGCACTGCCAGCACCAGGGAGGGGACAGGGAACCTGAGAGCCAACTGCACAGAAGCTGGGACCAGCCAGTGGGGAGATGCCGGAATGGACAAATGGACCCCAAGGGGCAATTTCCATCCTAAATCAGCACCTGTCTGAGCCCAGCAAGCCTGGGACCCCCACTCATCCCAGGGGGAAGAAGGAACATCCCCTGTCCTGCTGCCCCTCCCTCCAGGGCAACCAGCCTCATTTCCATGGCCACGTGCTCAGCAGCAGCTCCTAATTAAATTAATCAATTAAAGAGAGTTCTTGGCCCAGAGACACAAATCCTGGATGGACCAAAACACATCCAGTGGATAGCCTGGAAGCAGCACAACTAGAGCCTTAAGAGCCATGCAGACCCCTGGCTGCTCCCTGTTTTGGGGAGGTCTCCCAGAGCCCATCCTCACAGCTTCCATTGCACTTCCCAAAGAACCAGCCTTAGGCTGGATGCTGACAGGGGCAAGGGGGTCAGCAGCTGACCAGGCAGGGAAGGGGTCCCCAGGACCAGGCAGGAGGCAAACCTCGAGCCCCATGTCGCTGCCAACCCGCTCCAGCACCAGGCAGACGCTGTCCCAAAGGACCCATCCCGCGGGGAGCAGCGCGGCTCCCTCACGCCGTGCCCGGGCTTTAATGGGATCTTCTGGAGTGGGATAAACAACACCGCTGACCTGCAATTACAGCGACCTGCCCAGGTGCTCCTGCCCTGGCCAAACCTGCTCCACGGCGCCGGCTCCGGCGCTGCCTCTCACCGCCCGCTGATAAGCGGCTGCTCCCGGCACTGCTGGCACCCAGCGCTGGGATGGGCTCGGGGTCCAGCTGTCCAGCAGCCACTGTGCCAAAACACAGCCAGCCTGTCCCTTAAGGTCACACACGGGGTGGCACACACAGCTTCCAGGGCACCGCCTGTCCCTCTGCTGCTCCTTCATCCCCTGGCACAGGAGCAAGAGTCAGCGACTTCCACAGGCATCTGGCAGCCTGGAGCAGCCAAACCCCGAGCCTGGGAGCCTGGTGACCGCTCGGTGTCCCAGCAGGGGACAGCCACACGCTGCTGAGTGACACCGCCAGCTGCACTGGGCGCTGGACGGGGCGAACCAACCCCGCTCCCCCCTTTGGTTGTCAGGATCCCCCGTCCCTGCCCAGCGGCTGCCAAAGCCACAATGACCTTCCCAGCACCAATGGCTCCTTCCCAGGGAGTGGCAGCAGCCGTGGCACCTGTCCCTTTGGCCTCCCGCAGCTCCAGCTGACTCCTGTGGCCCCAGCAACAGGGAGTGGGAGAGGCTTCCTGAAGCAGAGGGTGCAGGTCCTTCCCACACCCTGCCAGGACCCCAAACACGTCCCTGCTGAGACCCCATGGATGCCCTGCAGGATGTGGCAGCCATTCCAGCTGCCATGCTCTGGCTTTCCCGCCTGGCACACTGTGCCATGGTGCCAACCCAGCTGAACCACTCTCTGCCAGGCTTCCTCAGCACCTTAGAGGTTCTGCTCCCCAGCCTGTCACCCCCCTGAGCACGTCACCGAGGCACGTGTCACCAGGCAGGGAAGAGCAAGAGCCCAGGGATGTCACCACACTTCTCTAGCACCCAGCACCATTTCCCAGCCCGGTGGGCCCCCCAAGGCCCCAGTGACCTGCTGGCCATTTCCCTCTCCAGGGACATGGAACCCTCGCTGCCCCAGGGCAGGGGACAGAACACAGCGAGCGATCCGCACAGGGGTCAGAGTCCTCCTCCCTGAACTTTCCTTTGTGGCTCACAAATCGATTACGAAACTAAAAATAACAGGTGTCCTGCCCCAGCCCACCAATCCACCTCGCCTGGCTCCAAAGGAGAAAGTGATCCATGCGTTTTCCACCCACAGGTCACAAACCAGTTCCCAACCCAGCTGACCTGGAGGAGCAGTGCCTCACCAGGACTGCCAGCACGCAGCTTCCCCTGGGAAAACTCATGGAGTGAAATGGCTCCCGCTGTGGCTGCAGCACCCAGAGCACAATATCCCCCTTCCCTCTGGGAGGAAATCCCAGCTCCTGTCCCCTGTCCTCGCTGGCCCTCCCCACTCTGGCCCAGCAGCTGGGACTCACGTGAAGGCGAAGAAGAGGGTGGTGGCTCCCACTAGGAAGATGGCAGCGGCGGAGACCGGGACGTACTTGCTGGGTTTGAATCTCTTTCCAGAGGCTGCTGGCATGTTGGAGCTGTGGTGGGGGGTCCGCCCCGCAGCATAGCCCAGGCCCCAGGGGACTCAGAGCAGGATGAGAAGGGGAGGGGGACAGGGGCTGACCCCTACCCTGCCCCCACGCCTGCTCCTGGGGTGAGCTCCGACCGGGGCGGACAGTCCGGAGAAGGGTCTGGAGCAGGAGGCCCAGGAGAGGAGCCCACGCTAAGCTCTGCCCTGTGAGAGCTCGCGGGCACAGGGAAGGAGGGTTAAAAACATTAAAAATTCACAACAGAGAAGGGAACTTGGGTTCAGGACAACCGTTGGAGTGGGAATGCTGAGAGCCCTTCCAAGCCTCAGTCCAGGCAGCAGCCCACAGGGAGCAGGACTCCCAGAGGCAGGCTCTGAAGGGAGGGAATTCCCCAGGCTCGGGCAGGGTCCTTCCCACCCAGCCAGCACCCCGAGAAGAGCACAGGATCAGCAAACTGCTTGCAAAAAAGCCACTCCGGGAGCCTCAGGACAGCCACTTCTCCTTTTTAATCCGCCTCTGCTGTGCTGCTGCCCCCGGGGTGCTGCACAGGAGGAGGGGGTGGTCTCCAAGCAATCCCAGCTTCCTCACGGAGCTGCCTCCTCCTCCTCCCCTCGCTGGAGGGGTCACAGAAACACTCTCCCTGATTTCACCGGGATCTGGGGCTGGCTGGCGGTGGCTGTTTAATTTTATTTATTTCTCTCTTGTCTGTTAAAGCCGAGGAACAGCTGGTGCAAGGTTGAGCTGTAAATCCTTTTTTTCGAGGGGGGCGGAGGGGAAGGTCTGGCGGATTGTGGGTTTTCCTACTTGCTCCTTTCTCCTGATCCCCCAGGCCCTTCCATGGGCTCAGTATCCACTTGGCGGTTGGGGAGCAACAGGAATTTCATTAAATCTTCTCTGCAGCAACCATTTCCCAGCAGGTGAACGGGAAGGGGGTGTTCAGGGAGTGCCTTTACAACCCCAGCAGACACCAAAGGCTGGAAGTGGTGCTGAGCAGCTCTGTCTCACCCATGGCCCGGGCGGTGCAGGGAGAAACCTCAGTTTGTTCCAAACAGTTCCATTTTTCCCTTCCCTTTCCTTGGCTAAAATCCTTCTTCATTCATCCATCCATCCGTCTTTTAAAAAAAACTACATAAAACCATTAAAACTCGAGGTCTGGTGTGCCACAGCTCACCTGGAAAAAAACAGCAACAGAAATTAGCATGGCAAGAAAAGGGATGGAGCCGGCTGTCATTAGCCACAGCAGCCTGGCCACGGCGTCTCCCGTCCCAGCCCAGGGGCACTGGCTGCTGCAGGAACTCCAAGCCACCCCCTCTACCACCCTGAGCCTTGGAAGGACTGGAGGGACACCAGGAATTCCTTCCTGCAGCTCCGGCTCAAATCCCAGCACCAGTGAGTGCTGGCTCCCTGAGGGGCAGGGGCTGGGCAGAGACTCCAGGACTTAACACAAGGGTGGAGACCACAGGAGGAAAAAACATCCAGGAATCTCACCCCCTTCCCTGGAGGGCAGGAGACAGGGGGGCCCACGGAAAACATCAATCCTATGATTGTAAGTGGCCTTTGCAGCTCTGGATTCATCAGGAACTGCAGCGCCAGCACAAGGAAGAGTGGATTTGAAATGACAGAGCTCAGGGCTGGATGGGATATTGGGAAGAAATTCTTCCCTGTGAGGGTGGTGAGGCCCTGGCACAGATTGCCCAGAGGAGCTGTGGATGCCACATTCCTGGAAGTGTCCAAGGCCAGGCTGGATGAGGATTGGAGCAAACTGGGATAGTGGAAGGTGTCCCTGCCCTGCCCCAAGCCCGTCATCCATCATATCCCACCAGTTCCTGCTGCTACAGCCATCACTCCTCACCTTGTCACCGTCTGTCACCCACCCTCCTCTTGCTGCCTCCATGGCACTGCAGGTCCAAGCGCAGCCTGCAGCTCACTCCTTTCTCCCTTCCAGCTTTCTCTGCCTCCCCAATTTCTCCTTCGGGGTGGGCAGGGAACTCTCTAGCGCTGACTAAACACGAGTGAAGGTTTGGAGAGCTGTGGCACCCAATTAAAGGCAGCTTTAATGACAAGGATGTGTTACCACCAAGTGGGCTCAGCCCCAGCTCGCGGCCACTCCGCCTGACTCACCCAGGAACAGCTCCTGCCACTCGGCCTCTGCAGGACCAAAGCTCAACTTCCCACCCCAAGGTTTCCCTGCCCTTGGGAGTGAGAGGGAACGTGGGGCCAATGCTCTGCCCGGCAGGGAATGTGCAGGTTTCACCTGGCAGCAGCTCCTGAGTGGGGCCAATTGAACAGTAACACCAGGGAAAGTTGTTTTCCATAGCAAGAACGGAGTTCCCTGGAGAGCAGCAGTTTCCCAGCCCTGCTCTGCCTGTTCGGGGAAGAGCCCAACACCCCACAGAGCCGAGCCCAACAGCAATTCCAGGGATGGGCTATCGGAAGTGCAGGCCTGATTGCTTTAGCAGGAGCAATCTGCTCCCAGAGCAGCCTTTGAACGCTCCGCCATGGAGGCACGGCCACACCTCGGGTTCAAACAGACGCTGCCAGGCAGAAGGAGCTGTTCCCTGATAATTCCTCCTCCGGAGATCCCCACCCTGCCCTCGCAGGGCGCCACGGGCATGCGCCTGGTGGCCCTGCTCTGCCCCAGCCCTCCCAGCCCGAGATCCAGCAGCTCCAGCCCTTGCACAGGCTCCCTGCAGAGCTGTGCGTGCCAGAGCCAGCTCCCCGTGGAATCAGCTCCCCATGGGACAGGCTCATGAGCAGGGGGAGAGCCCCAGTGCTGTCAGAAGTGACGCCCCAGCGAGAAGCGATGCAAATGTATCCCTGCTCCAGCTGCCTGTGCCCGGAATAACTCCACAACTCATCAAACAGGAGGCTGCTGAGCCCATCCCGGCTCCCAGAGCCACTACACTGCTCCCGGGAATGCTTTCCTGATCCCCCTGGCGTGCTGAGACCCCGCAGGACCCCCAGCCCTGCTGCAGAGCCTGGAGAAAAAGCTGTGAAAGTGTGGGATCTCTGCTCTGCAGTCCTTAAGGGGTGCAGGAGAAACACAAGGAAAATCCACCCCAAATTCCCACAGATTACACTAATTCAGGTCCCAATTCTCCCAAACACACATATTCTTTTCCAGCCCTCCCCTTTCCCAGCCCTACAACCTGCCCACCCCTATCAGCCGACCCTTCCTTTCCCTCCACCTTTGTCCCAAATCCTCTGCCTCTCTGGCTACCGTCCCTATCCATAAAGTCCACGCACAGACTTCCCTGCTCCAAAGAACTCATCTTGCTTACCTGTGGCCTACACGGGCTCTGCTCTTGCCTCCCATTCCTTTCTGCTCTTGCCTCCCATTCCTTTCCCTCTGCCAATTCCAGCCCAGCAACTCCTCCTCTCCTGCTGCTCCTCCAGACCTGCCCTGCTCCTTCCTCCCCCAGCGCCTGTGTCACTGCTCACTCCCCCTTCCCTCTCCCTCAGAAATTCCACCTGGTTTTCCCATCCCAGCACCTCCTTTTTGGAGCGCTTTCCCAGTTCCGCTCTGCTCAGCCACCTCTGGAGCAGCCATCTCCACTCTCCAGGGCCTCCCTCCACTCATACAGGGGAGCTGCTCCTGTTTCCTTCACCTCCATTTCTGGGGATTTCTTTTAATTCCAAATTCCCTCCCTTGGGGTATGTGCAAGCACGACTGCTGCCACCTTCCATTTCTCTGAGCCTGCATCTCCTTTTCTTGGTTCAAGGTCCTGTAAAGCCGCACTGATTTCCTCCCTTTACTCCCTCCCAGCCCTGTGCTGCTCCTTCTCTGCTTCCCACCCTGCAAAAGGAGAGGATTTGAACAACTCTGCTCATTTGCTCCAGCTCCTCTCCAGCCTTCCCACACGTAGCCAGGTGCTCCATACCTTGTCCCTTCTGGGGCAGGAGGTGCTCCCCACCTCTACCGAGATGGGGACACGTGTCCCCAACTCCCAACATTCCCTCCTCTCTCACTTCAGCTCCTCACTCTGCTCCTGCTGGGAAGGAGGAAATGCCCCTTGGCATCAGCCCCACGGATCCTGCCAGCCCTGGGATGCACGGCACAGGCAGGACAGAGCTCCCTCCCGGTTACCTGCCGGGATGCGCAGCTCCCGGTGGAGCTGCCCCGATCCAGCCGAGTTCCCATGGCGCAGGGCAAACACACAAACAATTCCTTCCACGTGAGGCAACTCCCAGGCAGGGCAGATCCCGGCGGCACCGAGACGGGATGTGCTTCACCTGTTCCCACTTTGTTTTGACCAGCTGCAGCCCGGAGTTGCACAGAGCCATTCCAGAGCTCGCTGCCCAGCACCGAGCGTGAGGGGCATCCAGGGAACAAGGAACCCCCTCCTCCCTCTGCTCACCCTGTTCTTGCACAAACAGCTAACACTTCACACTCCAAAATCCATCAGAGAAAGTGCAAATGTTCACAAACCTGGCACTGTGGCCGGAGCACTGCCAGCGTGAGATCCCCACTGGTCACAGGGCAGTTTGGGGACACCTCCCTGCTCTTAATTCCAAAGGAGGATGCACAGCAACGTATATTTGGCTGCTCCTCAGCTCCAGGTGCAGCCTGCACACCTGCCTTTCTCCCAGGTGGATGTACAGAAGGATCAACAGAGAACATGGAGAAATATTCCAGTGCAGACAGCCAGAAGGCTGGAGTCACTCCACGCTGATCTCCTGCCCAGGGCTTACACCGCTCCCATCCTCCTGCTGCAGCCCATCCCGCTGCTTGACACGGGATTAGCCCCATTTTATGGCCAAAGCAGGAGCAACAATGCCTCATCCATGGAGGCCGCGTCCCAACGGGCCCCACAGCGAGCAAGGACAGCGCCAGCCTCTTGTCACTGTGCTAGGAGACACCGGGCACAGCGACAGGTGGGAATGTCCCCAGACAGGCCCCTCACAGGGGAGTTCAAGGTCTCCCCTCGGTCCCACCCAACCACCACCCCCTCCATTCCCAGATGGGCTCCTGGCCTCGGAACCAGCGGGAATAAACGCCTGCTAAAGCTGCACCTGGGCCCGGCCGAGGGACAGTGCAAACTGGATTAAGCTCGGAAAAGGCTCCAAGGCAGCTCTGGCTTTGATCGAGACAAGGCTCTGGTTTTACACGCCCCAAAAAGCCCGAGCAGCCCGGGTGCAGAGAATCCCTGAAGCCCCGTGCCGGGGCGGGAGCCGGCAGATCCGGGGGAACGGCTTCCCAGAGCCACGGGCAGCAGCGGGGCAGCCGATCCCCTCCCGAATGGGCGCGCGGAGGGGGTGGAACCCCGGGCACGGCTCAGGCGGTCGGGAATCCGGGAATTCCGAGGCGAGGCACCCGTCCCGGTGCCCCCACGGCCGGGAGCAGGGACGGTGCCGTGGGAGAGGCCGTGCTGTAAACACGGCCCCCCTGGGCCGGGCACAGGCCGAGCTCCGGGGCCCCACGGCAGCGCGGCGGCGGCTCCCGGGGCACCGGGGCCGGGCCGGGCGCGGGGCAGCGCACGAGA